TATGGAGACATAGAATTAGAAACTTAAGGAACAAGTAATTAATAATATAAACGATGTTTTATACAGGAACAGAATTAGAAACTTAAGGAACAAGTAATTAATAATATAAACGATGTTTTATACAGGAACAGAATTAGAAACTTGAGGAACAAGTAATTAATAATATAAACGATGGTTTATACAGAATTTATACAGAATTAGAAACTTAAAAAACAAGTAATTAATAATAAAAAATGGTGTTTTATACAGGAACATAATTAGAAACTTAAGGAACAAGTAATTAATAATATAAACGGTGTTTGATACAGGAACAGAATTAGAAACTTAAGGAACAAGTAATTAATAATATAAACGATGTTTTATACAGAACAGAATTAGAAACTTAAGGAACAAGTAATTAATAATATAAACGATGTTTTGTAAAGGAACAAAATTAGAAACTTAAGGAACAAGTAATTAATAATATAAACGGTGTTTTATACAGAACAGAATTAGAAACTTAAGGAACAAGTAATTAATAATATAAACGATGTTTTGTAAAGGAACAAAATTAGAAACTTGAGGAACAAGTAATAAATAATATAAACGGTGTTTTATACAGAACAGAATTAGAAACTTAAGGAACAAGTAATTAATAATATAAACGATGTTTTGTAAAGGAACAAAATTAGAAACTTGAGGAACAAGTAATTAATAATATAAACGATGGTTTATACAGGAACAGAATTAGAAACTTAAAAAACAAGTAATTAATAATAAAAAATGGTGTTTTATACAGGAACAGAATTAGAAACTTAAGGAACAAGTAATTAATAATATAAACGGTGTTTTATACAGGAACAGAATTAGAAACTTTAATGTTTTAATGTTTTTGTTTTTTTTATTTGCCAAGTGACTAACTCCTTCTTACGTTCAATCATGTTTTTAATTTTATTGAATAAAAGAAAATCAGTTAGATTTACCTGAGAAATGAAGTCTTCAGGGTATGTTTCCAACTATGAAGAGAAACGGAAATAAACAATTAAGATAATCTGATATCAGTTGAGTTAACAGATAATTAATTATCCAGTGCGAATTTTCATTCTTTTTAATGTGAAATAAATATTATTATTTGAATACCTTTTGGTAAATAATCTCCTCCTTTCTGTTTTTAGGAAGTGTTCGATAAACATCATACTGACGTCACTACATGTGCACTGAAAAAGGAAGAATGGGCAAGTTTTGTTAGCGCCATCTACCGGCGATGACACAAGACTAATGTGTTGGATTTTATTAACCGTTTGATTTCAAAATAGCAAAATTCGTGAACAAAGTTTATTATATACATATTTTTTTATTTGATCTTTGTTTATCATCCATGCGACTTACTACTGTTATAGTCAAAAACCACTTTCATTTTGTGTCATAAGACATTGATACTAGGCCTATTTTATATTTTTAACACTACATGAATTAGAAGTGTAAATATAATATTGTTTCGCCACCTTGAAAAAGGCGTAAACACCCTAACAACTAATGTTGTAACAAATGGCTTATATAAATAGTGTTCCAGCCACTTCTGTAGTTTCTGTATCCCCCGGTCTGATGAGTTCTGGATTGAGCGAAAGGCGTCGTCAGCGATGTATAATGCGAATATAGTGTGGTTTAAACACTATTATTATACACTCTTCTATTGTAATTCTTTAAAATCCCTAAGGGACTACATAAAACATATAGTGTTAAATATACAATAGGCCTAATGCTAATCTCTTATGATAAGTATAATTAATTATAATCATGCTTCGTCAGTTTGAAAAAGGAACAATTGGTATCTATTGTTGTTTTACAGTTTGGTGAGGATGGCCAGTACAAGTTTGACAGAGCTTTGTCCGAGATCAAAGGGAAGGGACTGAAGCCTGAGGTAAACTCTGTATACCATATTTTCTAAAAAATTAAATAGATTAAAATCACAAGCACTCCATTCTAAAGTTTCTGATGGTATACACAATGTAAAGTTAGAAAAAATTTGAAATTGTAACAAAATTAAAAATGTTTATATACCTAGCTACCGCTTATGCTTATTGTTTCCCCATCACTAATAATGAGGGGGACAGTTTGTTTGTACTTAAGCATAAAGCTACACAATGGGCTGTCTGTGCTCTGTCCACCACGGGTATCGAAACCCGGAGTCTAGCGTTGTAAGTCCGTAGACATACCGCTGTGCCACTGGGGGGCAAGGGCGACAGAGAAGCTGTAGGCCAAATGTATCATATAAGAAAAATATCAATAGGATCACGCTTTAGTTTACTAATTTGTAGAAATTGTACGATAAACATTGTAAATAAATAGTTTAGAACTATATTTAATATAAATACTGTAAACATTGTATCTGTTACAAATATGGTAATTGGTTCAATGAAAAATTCGTTCTAACTCGTTATTATTTTTTTTTTCACAGATCTTGACATCAATTATATCCGAACACGAATATTGTAAAAACGAAGCTGTAAGTATTTGTTTATTGAAATTATCTTGAAATGTTCAATGAGATTTTGGTAATAAATTAAGGGATATTTGTGCTCTGCCCACCACGGGTATCGAAACCCAGTTTCTAGCGTTATAAATCCGCAGACCTTCCGCTGTACCACTGGGGGGGGGGGGCAACATTGATTAATCATAAAATGTATTTTACTAACTTTATGTATTTATTAACTTCAAACTTTTGTTTTCTTTATTATTCTTGAGTTAAGAAAAACGAATACTTTAACTATGAAAACATAATCTAATGTTAAAACCAAAGTATGTGAATCGTTTCATTTTTTCTGTTTTAACGTGAATCAAAACACATATTGAAAACATGTTATTACTGTACATTGTGCAGCTTTGTGCTTAATTACAAACAAACAAATCAATGTTGCCCCCTATTGGCACAGCGGAAGGTCTGCGGATTTATAACGCTAGAAACTGGGTTTCGATACCCGTGGTGGGCAGAGCACAAATAGTCCATTGTGTATCTTTGTGTTTAATTACAAAATGTATAATGATTAATGTTCATTTAAAGTTTTCTTAGGAAACCGTTTCTTCTTCGTTTCGCAACTTTATGATCGTTTAATATCAGTGTTTTTTTCAGAAAGCCACTTACCAACAAGCTTTGAAGTAAGATTAAAATGTTACTAGTTTATGCCCTTAATTATAGTATTTTGGCACTTGTGTATAAAGTTAAAATCATAAATAATATTCCACGTTAAACTGGTACACAATTTTTTTAGGCCTATCTATGGCCTTCAAAAAGTTGAC